CGCTGTTTTGGCTCTCTTTGTTAGACCAGGAGTTGCCAACCCATTTATGTCATCAGTATCCACAAGGTTTATATTCAAGTAAATAAAATTGGGCCTGTCATTTGTCCACTTATAGTTGCAGGCGAATTTGCATGCCCCCAACACTGGTCACCATTAGAGTCCCCTCTCCCACAATTAAAATGATACAGTTATTTTCAGTTCAATACCAACGTATTTTCAGTTCAATACCACTGTGGTGTCTGTGGGTAAATGCTGACCAATATGTATAATTAGAATCAAGTGTACCACAGTTTAAATGGATACCGTGAACTAGAGAGTGAAATATGCTCCGTGGAGCTAAGTAGCTGGGGGAACAGCAATGCCTTGGTACCACCTTCATGGATCCACAATACTGGAGCTAGCCAAGGTAGACCCAGTTCCTGGCATAATTTAGAGCCTCTTCAGGGTTGCTCTAATTTATGCCCAGCTGCACACAGCCCTAAAAGTTTTGTTTAACAGCCAGGGATCACCAGAGAACCGTGTTCACCCAGGAATACTCCTACACTGAAGCTGTGAGGAGGTAATTGTGTGGCGTCACTACAGTATCTGAATGCAGCCTAAAAATTTCCCTCCTCAGTTTCCGGCTGCTTTGCCCCATTGAAATGGAGCTGGAAATCTGTCCTCATATCAATTTTAGGAACAGGTTTTTGTGCCCTGTGCTTTTCATCCTCTATTTTTACTCTTGTCAGACTTTTTCAATAAACTGGATTTCTTTTATAAATCTGGATTTACTTCTTTCCTGTATTTTATTTATGTTAATCCTAAAAGTAAACCTATCTTCGGTCCCTTTAACTTGAATATTTGATGTAATATTTGCATTCAGGGGAAAAAATCTTTGATATCATCTTGACCTTAAAGATTTTGAAAGTCAAAATCTGCATACCAATGTAATACCTGATCTCTGCTGCTGAAATAACATCGGCTGACTCTCACAATTAGGCAATAACTCTATCCATGTTACTTTTTTTTTTTTTTTTGCAAAGAAAGTAATACAAAATCCTCATTGCAGATTGTCTGGAATAATTTAGAATCTTGTATTATTATATTGCTTTCTACAACTCTGATATGAAAAACTGTTTAATAAAAAAATTAAATGATATCATAATAGCAATCTCATATCAGTCAGTCATGCACAGTCAATTATGTGGTGTTAAAATCTAAAAACTGTGCCAAATAGCAGAGGGGTCTCTGGCTATGGTACTTAAGCTAAAGATCAGCATGACTGACAGTCTTGTGATATTAGTTTGCTGCTATATTTTCATTGGACTGTGGGAGAATGAACACCCCTAGACAGCTGGCCAAATATTGACCTGATGTAAACTGTTTGATGCACTATTGAAAACAACAGAGCAGCACCCACTTACATTAGGTATGAATTTGGCTCCAAAACTCCATTTATTGTTATTGACCACTGCTTGTAATTGTTGCTTTGGATACCTTGAATTGATTTTACATGAAATTGGAATCATTCCTCATACTTGGAGCAAGATGGGCCAATCAAACCAAGATTGAAGTCGCAGGTGTAGCAGTATGAAGAAGAATGCACTAGGTACGGGACCGGATTGCTCAGAGGGTTGCAAATGGCATACACTGTCTTTTACCTGTGTCGCTAGTTCTAATCCAGTCTGGATCAATAGTAATTTAAAGTTGTTACCCTTTTTTGACTGTTTGAAGGCCGATATGAAACAAACTTGGTGGTCTCCCACCTGCTGTGCACATCATGACAGCTGGCATTAACTAGCATTCTTGTTGGTGTTCTCAGCCCAGATGTAGGACTGAATAGGTCAAAGAGGCTATTATCTCATGTCTAGATATGGCACCTTGAAGTTAAAAGATAGAGGTAGTTTTGTGTGGAAGATTGGCATAGCAATCGGGAAGCTTGCTCTGCTATTTTTTCTGTGCCTGGGCCATTTCTGTTCTATAAGGAGACAGAGGAATTCTTTCTCTAGAACTCGTAGCTCAACACATTTTATGAACACGGAATTAAAGCACAACCAAAAAGAATAATGCAAGTTAGAGGGTAATGCTACATGTCCTGATCGTAAACAAAAACACACAGTAGGTGTGTGTGAAAGCCTAGTGCTCTAGACATCTTTGTTTTTTACTTGAGTGAGGCCAGAATTTAACCTAGTGTGGTTACACTTTGGTTTAAACTTTGACAATTTCCATACAGATTTGGATTGCTACCCCCCAATTACTGGAAAGATTCTTAGTTGTGAAGTATTCATATTTTGATACAATTTGATGTCATTCTAATTTATTGTACCTCTGGAGTCAGGTTGAACTGAGTAATCCCTTTTAAATCATAGCAAAATGGGCATTCCTAATATGAAAGGAACCCACAAACTGCAATCCAGCTGATATCAGTGTATAGCAATGTAAGGGCATACTAAAACAAAAACAGTTCAACAAGAACTAATTCAGGCAGATTTTACCCTAGTGAGATAATTTGAAAAACCTATACGTGTTCCAGTCTGCTTACACACTTACTGTCATTTCATGAATGAAATGAGAAACTGTGCAGATAATTAAATATTTGGCTTGGGGAATTATTTGTAGTTAATTAAAACCACACACTTTAAGTGCACACCTACTCAGCAGATTATTAAATTTAGATCAAATGTTAACTACCCAGGTTTTTACCTTATCCATCAAAGATTGTTCTTGGCAGGTTTAAGGAACAGTTTTTTTGGGTGACACTTATGCTATTTTAGAAGAAGGAAATTTATGGAACTGGAACTCTAATATATAAACAACTTTCCTCAGAATCCTACTTGTTAATTTTCCTTATAGGAATCTGTCAGCATACTGGCACAATTTTGGGGTATGTTCTCTTCTTGATACATACGTACACATCACCTATTATGATGATCATCCCTAGCATTACTATTGTCTCAAGAGGACTATTTACCCAGAAAGTGCAGAAAAATTCCATTTACCTTTGACTCTGTGGCCTTTACTAGCAAAGGTCAAATGCAAAGCTGTGTGGACAGTGATCCTCAGATGTCATGCTGATGGGTGGAATATAAAAAACATGGACTTTATGGGCCTCATGGGACAATATACCACCATATATTTGTATAATGTTATTTTTGCCACTGTAAACTAAACAGTAATGGTGTAGGCTGTATTGCCAAACATTTTCCATCATATCTTATTAACATTATGCTCTATTTATGTATTAATGAGGTCTGCAACTAATGCAAAAGAATGGGAGTTCAGACGCCCAGTTTGGTTGTTTTTATAATAATCACTCAGCTTCAGGTCTGCCGATGGTGGGCACAAAGGGGGTAGCTTCGCTGGGGTCCAGTGATTCAAAAGGGATCCCTGGGCTCTTTAAATTGCTGCCAGAGCCTCACATGGTGGCCTTTGGGCATCACTGAAAGCGCCCTGGGGGGAGCTAGCCCCAGTCCCATACTGTCTGCTGAAGACCCCACCCCTTCCAGGGCATGGACCTCCCCCTCACCCCGCCCACTGTCCTGGTGAGTCTGTCGGCCCTACTGCTCAGTGAATGATCTTGGACAATTCATTTAAACTAGTCTGAGTCTCAGTTATCTTAAGTAAAAAAGCAAGTGTGACATTATCACCATCAGCCATCAGGCGTAAGTCTGAGACCACTGATCTCAACAGGACTTTTGCCATTGACTTCAGTAAGGCTGGGATTTCACCTAAAATACAAATAAGCATTAATATTTGTAAAGTGCTTTGAGATTCACACATGAAAAGTGCTACTGCTATTCAAAAGAAACAGATAATATAGTTAATCAAGTGATTTTCTTATATTTTCTTTACATTTAGCTCCTTATTAGAAGTCAGTAATGCAGACCAAGTAACACTTAATAACTGCATAGTTTTTTAAATTAACTTGAGCAATTTACACTTGGGCCATTTTTAAATGTAACCTCCCTTTTCCTCTCCGGATTACTGGGGAGCAGGTCACACTCACAGGTGTGCCTGGGCGCCTGATGTTTTAACCCAAGAGATCCTGAGCACCCCAGTGGTGATAGTGTTGAGTTGGGGAAAGCCCTATCCACCCCTTTGCTGTAGTCCCTTGCTGTAATGAATGTAAAATGTCGGTGCCTCCACCTGGCTGGCCTTGTACACACATTGGTGTGCCTTGAGAGCCTCCAGGAACATACTAATTCCAATTATAGTCTGGATCTAATTCCAGAACAACTACAAATCAAATACATCTAACGGAACACTTTAAAATAAACAATCTGTACTTAACTTAAATAAACAGGGATTAACAGATTTAGCAATGAACAGCATTAACAAAACACATAACACTAATTGAAGCTTATACAGCTAACATTTGTACAACAGTGACCAGAGTGTGCACACCCCTGAACTCACAGTCCCAGACTCTTGCTTGCATTGGCGCGCTGATGTTGCAGCTGTAGTGGAGATTCGGTCCAGGCTAGAGAGCAGCTCTGTCCCAGGTAGCACTTTCCCAACAAGGCCCCAAAACTTACTGCCTCATGCTGTGCCTATCGGAAGCAGCCGGCTAAATCCTAGTTCCAACAGGCATCTAGTCCCGGTCTGTAGCTGCATTGACTGGATCAATCTCCTTGGCAGCAGCCTGGCTCCCCCTTCGGTTCCAAACTCCAAGGCAGAGTCCCATTCTGCTAGGCCTCTTTTCTTCATGCACATGGAGAGAGAGAGTCCTCTCCCACACAAGAGTCCTTCCTTCCTGTTTTTCCCAAGGGCTCATGGGAATTGTAGTCTGGACTGTAGCACACAGGGTCTTTTCAGAATAAAACAGAGGCCCCTTTAGTAAGGGGACTACATAAAGTATATTTAATATTATGTATTTTTAAATAAAAATACATTCCATTACAGTAACTTAATGCCAAAGATGAATCCAGTATTTGTATGTGCTGGATTCAGGTCTCCTAAGTAGCTATCAGACTTTGCCGCCAGAAAACGTCTTCATTTTTTTTTTTTTTTGCTGTTTTTAGCAGATCCCTCAAAAGATTCCAAACCCACACCAGATAATGACCCAGCACTTCATACAATGTGCAAAGAAGATCAAGATGAAGGTAAAGTTACCTACTGAAATTCTTTAAGATGCAAATAGTGGGGAAGCTCATGATACTATATATTCTTAAAAAAACAAACAATGGGTACTTAAGAACACTTTGTACCTTCTCTATCAGCTTCATGTAACATGAACTCTCTAATTGACTTTTTTCCCTTCCTTCTATCCCCACTACTATTTATTCTGAAATTGGATCTTCAACACTCTATTCATCTGAAGAAGTGGGTTGTGCCCACAAAAGCTCATGATGCCATCTACGTGTTTTGTTGGTCTGTAAGGTGCTGCTAGACTAGTCATTGTTTTTAAGGTATATATTTTTGTTAGTCTCTAAGGTGCCACAGGACTACTTGTTTTTAAAGTTACGGACTAACACAGCTACCTCCTGATATGCTATTTTAGTTATAGCATTCAACTTTTTCATCTTTGACCTTTGTTGCTTTAGGAAAATATCTGGGCTTCATTGACTAGGGTTCATCTAGTAGATGTATATGCCAATCAGTCTTGCTACTGTAGTCTGTAGTGTTAACCTCCAAATAACTTATTTTAACCATGTTGATTCTGGGTCACCCCAGAGCATTATGTTTTTGTTAGCAGAAGTCTGTTATATTGGTTTCATTTCTTTCTGTAATTTGAGCATCAAGAACAGGTGGTTTGGAACAGCTGCTAGTCCATACTGTGGTGACAGCCAAAAATGTTTGTCAGAGAATGCTTCAGTGCTCCCAGTGATAGACAATTCATCATGGCTGAACCATCAAAATCAGTATGCTCACTAAAAATATAACACAATAGTCCAGAGTTTCTATTAAGTGAGGTCTATTTTCACCACTACTTCATACTAATGCTCCGCCAAAATCAGTATGCTCACTAAAAATATAACACAATAGTCCAGAGTTTCTATTAAGTGAGGTCTATTTTGACCACTACTTTATACTAATGCTCGGGGAGGACTTTAATACATTTTATAACTACTTGTTTTTAACATTTCTAAAGTGACCCCATGAAAGAAAGAAAGAAAGAAAGAAAGAAAGAAAGAAAGAAAGAAAGAAAGAAAGAAAGAAAGAAAGAAAGAAAGAAAGAAAGAAAGAAAGAAAGAAAGAAAGAAAGAAAGAAAGAAAGAAAGAAAGAAAGAAAGAAAGAAAGAAAGAAAGAAAGAAAGAAAGAAAGAAAGAAAGAAAGAAAGAAAGAAAGAAAGAAAGAAAGAAAGAAAGAAAGAAAGAAAGAAAGAAAGAAAGAAAGAAAGAAAGAAAGAAAGAAAGAAAGAAAGAAAGAAAGAAAGAAAGAAAGAAAGAAAGAAAGAAAGAAAGAAAGAAAGAAAGAAAGAAAGAAAGAAAGAAAGAAAGAAAGAAAGAAAGAAAGAAAGAAAGAAAGAAAGAAAGAAAGAAAGAAAGAAAGAAAGAAAGAAAGAAAGAAAGAAAGAAAGAAAGAAAGAAAGAAAGAAAGAAAGAAAGAAAGAAAGAAAGAAAGAAAGAAAGAAAGAAAGAAAGAAAGAAAGAAAGAAAGAAAGAAAGAAAGAAAGAAAGAAAGAAAGAAAGAAAGAAAGAAAGAAAGAAAGAAAGAAAGAAAGAAAGAAAGAAAGAAAGAAAGAAAGAAAGAAAGAAAGAAAGAAAGAAAGAAAGAAAGAAAGAAAGAAAGAAAGAAAGAAAGAAAGAAAGAAAGAAAGAAAGAAAGAAAGAAAGAAAGAAAGAAAGAAAGAAAGAAAGAAAGAAAGAAAGAAAGAAAGAAAGAAAGAAAGAAAGAAAGAAAGAAAGAAAGAAAGAAAGAAAGAAAGAAAGAAAGAAAGAAAGAAAGAAAGAAAGAAAGAAAGAAAGAAAGAAAGAAAGAAAGAAAGATTTCAGAGAAATATGCTGTGTATAAGAAAGAAAGAAAGAAAGAAAGAAAGAAAGAAATTTCAGAGAAATATGCTGTGTATGGTTTTGTACTCTCTTCTGTATGCACATAAGTATGATATGTTATTTCTATCCTTTGATGTTAACAGGACAACAGGATGTTTCCACAATTGATGAAATGGAAATGCAGACAGATTCTCAGACTTCCTATATGGAAACAGAAGGTATGAGAAATGCTGTATAAACAACAAGTAAGATAACAATGTCTCATGACTAATTATTAACAGAAGCTATGCTATGGCATGAGAGGTACCCCAGTTATTTCTCTACATTCATTGATTTACCAGATGCAAATTTAGCTCAGAATAGGAAATAATAGCTCTAAGTGGAAAAGGCTAACTTTTTAATGGCATCCATAGTAAAAGGAAAAAGTTATGAGCTAGGTTGAGCATCCCCTACTCATGACAGCGAGCACTTAGCTTCCTATCATGCCAGATGATGGGCATTCTGCCTCCCTACAAGCATGTGACTTCTGTGAAATCACTTAAGCTTAAAGTGAAATGTGCTTCACTGGAGTGGGGCCAGAGTGCCCCTTGCAGTACTGAACAGAAATAGTCCCTCAGCCTCACTGTCACTGCTTACATAAGTAAATATTCAGCAGGGTGAGAAGGATTCTACAGTCTGATTTTATGCGAATGTTTTCCATGATAATAACTGCCGCATGTACAGTGAAAACTTTAATATCCAGCACTCACGGGCAATGGGGGATGCTGGTTAATTGAATGTGCTGGATAACAAAGCTTATTGTGCTGCCTCCACCCCCTACTGGCACATCTGGCTTCCTGCAGGATGAGGCATACTGAGGGAGAAGGAGGCACCTGCTAATGACATCAGCCAGCTGTCAGAAGCCCCCGTGGTATTGCAGTTGGGGGGCAGTGCCAGTTAACAATGTTTTCTAGTTAACAGACCACTGGATAATGAAAGCTTTCACCATATTAATTGTTTGATTCAACACGAGTTCTGAACAATGAATTAACTTCTGTTTCCTATCACATCCTGTTCAGAGCTCCTGTCGAACAAAGAGGATGTAATCAAGGTTGAGAAACCAATGACTCCTATAGTAGATGAAAACAAAGAAGAAAGCAAAGAAGAAGAGACAGGTAAAACTTTCTATACATTAGAAGTAGGCAGAGAATTCAAGTAGACTGCTATATAGAATCAAAATTCTCTTGAAAGCTGTGTTTGTATTGATAAGCACAGCTAAATTATTTTACTATAACAAAAGTTACCATTAAAACAATTTTCTTAAAGTATCATCTTCATTTGCTATTTCTATGTATCATTTATTTAAGTCTTTTTTTCCCCCATGTGGCATTAAAATATTGTTGTGTATTTGGTTGGAAGTCACGTAAGAAAATATAAGGGGCTGGAAAGTGTTATACTCAAATTTCAAAATGGCTTTTAAATAAACACCCAAACTGTTTATTGTGGGATTTTTATGTTTATCTTCCAAAACTGATGATTAAGAAGCAATTTATCTCAATTTAAATATCCTTTCTCTCAGAGTCATTGGAAGTACAATACTGAGTGTAGTTGCAATAACTGGATATTTAAGTGATTTGTGAGGTCATAAATAGAAATTTAACAAGTAATGAACTGAAGCTAGCAATTCTAATAAAGAAACCAATATTTGGAACACATACATATAGAGGTATTTAAATCAGTATTTATTCTATTATTAAGAAACAGCGAAATTTAATTTTCAGAGTTTCAGGAATTCTTGTGGGAGCCCTCCATCCATCCAGTCAGTTATAAAAGTCATGCTTACATAAAAAAAGCAATATATTATGTAAATAATTATCTAATTGGAAAGCAAATGCAATTATATGGTCTTCCGTGGTAGAACATATAGATCAATTACAGCTTCATATTAAAACCCAGACATGATCTTTGCTGGAAATCCAGGTCAGTACTAACTAGATCTTCATAATGATTAGCTCCCTTTGCTATGACATTGGTACTGACTTGAGTTGCAAATCCATGTTAGCAGTATTGACACTTTTCCTCTTTGCAAATCCAGGTTCTGTTTCTCTTTGCTCATATCCATCTTAACAGCATCTCCTTTTTTTAATGCAAATCCAAGTTGAGACTAATCACACCTCTCTTTCTTACAAGAAACGTTAATGGAATCTGTGTTGTGTTTCATTACTGGCAATGATACTACAATCAATATAATACTTCAAATCCAAGTAAATGGCATTCCTCTCCTTCAACTGCAAATCCAGGTTTTATAATATGGATTCATTTTAATTGGAATTCAATGTCATTATATTAATTTCCTCCGGATAGAAATTACTTACATTTTATTTTATGTCTCATCAAAAAGCAATGTTCACAAAGTTTACTTTCTTATTTGTATATTTCTTTCTCTTTAATATTTTACTGTCCCCGACAGCGAATGACTGTCATTTAACTCTCAGGTGATAGATTAGATTTCACCATCTGTTCTACCTAGTATTAACATATGTAGCATTAAGGAAAGTAATGTCAGAAAAGAGATGTTCTTTGCACTTTTCCTGTCCCTTATATAAAAGTTCCAGGGATCAACCAACTTAAAGGATCTTTCTGAACATTTCGAAGCATTGCGGCTTAGGTTCATTAGTGGTATTTACATATATCCAAAGTTCAGTGAAGTTTATGGAAAGACAACCTTTAACTTCAGTGGGTTTTGGACTGGGCCCATAACAAGAAGTATTGTGTTGAGTCTGCCCATGGTATAAACTGTACTCGGCTATACCTATAAATGTTTCTTATAGTTTGTTTTGAAATGCACAATCCTTTAAAATACTTCAGGCTGGGAAAATAAATCAGTGCTTTTGGCAATTCCAGAGAAGGGAAGGAGAATAAGGCATTCTCCTTGTTTTATTTTATTCTAATAGGTATAAAAATGTGCAGGTAGTCTGCACAACACATTTTATAAGCGGCTTTCAGGTTTGATATGCACAGATGCTGCAACATTAAGTTTCAGAGTCAGTCATCTTGTAAGATGGATCTTGAAAGAAAAGCCGGGTGGGGAGGATTGAACACCGGTTCACGCTGATAAAATAGTACGAGTATGTCCCAGAGAGACTTATAATGGCAAGAGTTCACCTGGCATAATGCAGAGATTTTCTATATAACAGCATCCCGTATAAGCAAACAGCTGGCTCGTAAGCTAATTCAGTTCAATGTTCTCCAGCAACACCTGCAGTTCATTGGAATAGAACAAATTAACATATTTTTAAGCCTCACCACACTTAAAAAGAAGATAACACGGGAGTATCATCCCAGTCATACTACAGTACTTTGTTTTGATATAAAAATATAGTGCTTTTGATCTGTGGTGAAACTACATGTGTATTCCAATTAAAAGACGTGCATAAAGTCGTTCTTGTCTGCTCAGCGTCAGTGCTGTCTTAAGGCGAGGCTGAGAAGTTAGCATCCCTCTGAGCTGAGCCTATGTTCCATGGTACCCCAAGAGGAGATGGATTAATGGCAGTTGTCTGTGGCCATTCCACATCCCTCAGTAGAAGTGCGGAACCTGCTAAATGGACAATATGGGTCAGATCCCGCAGTGGAAGGTAGTCTGCATGCTCCACAGTAGCCACCACAACCAGAAACATGATGGCTTCTTGTCAGAGAGAGGGCATGTCCAGGATGGCTGGGTGAGGGAGCACTGAGTCAGGGCATGCCTTTAGCAACCTCTGTTGACAGGTCTGTTATGGAAACTAGTGCTGCTGTCCTGGGACAGAAAGCTAAGGAAGGGCACATTGAAATGCCATTTGGCTTTCCCTGGGACATATTGTGCCAGCACCTTGCATTTCCTTGTGCTCATGAGGGTGAATCCAGGCTTATGTGGTGATGCATCCAAACACAAATTTTTTTTCTTTTGGTTCATGCCTGATCCCTTATACAACATGAGATTTTTCATTTCCATTCCATATATTAAGATAGACTTTATTGGTTGAGGCTTAATATTTTGCGTGTTAAATCTAGTGCATTTATATTTTGTATTGCAAGCTTGGTTTTTCTCAAAGGATTTTGCAATGAAATTCGCTCCATGTGTGTTCCACGAGCAATGTTTTTTTCCTGGAACACTGATAAAAATCAGAATTAATATTCTAGATGTGTCATTTTCTCATGCTTTAAGTAAAAGTTTATATATCACTTGGAAGCAAGTAAGGAAGAAGAGAGAGACAAAGCAAGACATATTGTAGAGTAACTTTTTTCAGGTATTAGAATCTACTCAATTGTAGTCTAAAAAACAAGAATGAAACCCTGCCTCTCTCATAAAATTAGGGAATAATCTCAAATCCCTTTATTAAAAATCAGAGTAAGTAATGGTTGCTGACCCATTGGCTGACCAAATAAAACATGAGGGAAACAGCATACAAATGCTTTTAATCTTCAATTAGATAATTCATATAATAATGAATATTATTATACACACTTGAAAATACTGTCACACACACTTGAAAATACTGTCATCTTTTGCTAATGGATGGGCATGCTGGGTTTAGTGGCATTTTGAATCAGCTCAGTATTTGTAACAGGGCTAATAATTTATAGCAAAAGAAAATGAAAGTAATGTTCCTTGGAGGTATATATAAATGTTCCCTGCTCTGAGTCTACTCTCCCCACTTATAAAATTCAGTCTCTCTTTATATAAAGATATTAGATCTGATGATTTCTCTTTGCTGTCATCCGTATAGCCTGCTTTACCTCTTGGAGGACAGTATGGTGTGACCAGGAGTATCCATTATTTGACTATAATACCCCTCTTCTGTTTGTTGGGTAGAATATTGCCTGTTATCTTATTGTCACAATAGTATTATCCTAAGATTATTGGAGTTAAGGATAGCTCAGAAACATATTTGTAATCTGCTCCTTTTGTTCTGCTGGAGGTTGCTGTGTCTTCATTCTAGTGTTGAAACCAGTGTCATTTCCCCAACATCACCTCTTCAGTTTGAGGTGAATATCCACAGTAGAAGTCCTACAGTAGTGATACCTGGCTGCTGTCCCTCTCAGAAAAGTGAGAATGTAAATTCAGCATGAAATAGCTTGTACCTTCCGCTCTAATGTGTGCACAACACTCAGCTGCTGATTTAATGGAGTAACTCTTACAAATGAAGGATCTATTTGGGGTAGCTGCTCTCTACCTACACTATATAGTACAAATATTTACTTTCCTGGAGAAGACTGCAAAAGAGAAGAATAGTCGGAGTAGTAAGATGCAACCCACCATTGAGGGACTTTTTTTGAATCCATGGAGAGCAGGGGTGAGCAATCATTTTTGAAGGGGGGGAACTTCACAATTTTTGGTAAGTCATCAGAAGCCTGTTCCAGGCCACCAGAAGGGGCAGGCCTTGGATAAAAGGAACAGGGAGGGGGGCTAGAGAGAGAGAGAGAGAGAGACAGACTTTGTGTGGGTGGCACAAAGACTGGGGGAGGGTGTATGGCACAGACTCTATGGCTATGTCTACACTGGCGTGATCTTGCACCAAAAATATGAAAATGAGGCTAAGCGTGGAATATCACTGAGCCTCATTTGCATATCTAATGAGCTACCATTTTTGCGGAAGAGGCTCTTGCACCAAAAGGAGCGTCTACTTTGCCCCTTCTTGCGGAAGAAAACCCCTCCAGCGCAATGCCGTTATCCCTGAAAATAATCAGCATAACGGCATTGCGCTGGAGGGTTTTTCTTCCGCAAGAAGGGGCAAAGTAGACGCTCCTTTTGGTGCAAGAGCCTCTTCCGCAAAATGGCGGCTCACTAGATATGCAAATGAGGCTCTGCGATATTCCACGCTTAGCTTCATTTGCATATTTCTGGCACAAGATCGCACCAGTGTAGACATAGCCTGTGTGTGAAAGTGAAACAGAGAGTTTGTGTATTGGCTACTACTGGGTAAGTTTCTAAGAGACACCATGCACTCTCTCTTTAAGATGTAGAAACTTTCCTGTTCTGTTGTTACCCCCTCACCTGCTCTGCAGAGATGGGATATATGCGGGGAGAAGAGTAAATGTGTGTGAGAGAGAGGGAGAGAGAGAAAAATGAGTAAAGAAATCTTAGAACAATGCATGGCCTCTTAAGACAGGCACTCATCTTAGTCACTCCCCATACTTCAGCTCCATTGTGTGTGTCCCTCTCTCCAGCCTCTGCTCTGCAGAGATGAGATGCAGGGGCACACACACACACACACACACACACACACACACACACACACACACACACACACACACACACACCCCCACCCTGCAGGAAGGCCCCGGGAGCAGCTCAGGAGAGGAGAGGAGCAGCTGAACATATGCTGCTGGCTCTTTCTGCTAATCAGCTGAGTGGTCCAGATAGAAATTCTGGGTGGGCCAGTTTTAGCCTATGAGTTGCATTTTGCCCACCCCTGATGCAGAGGCTAAGGCACATTAGTGTCCTACATCTAATTTTGATTGAGAGTTGCCAATAAATCTTCTAGTGAGTAGGCAAATAACTGTTTATGCATCAGTTGACCCATTCTTCACCTGAACAGCTGAATTCCAGGTCTTTCACCCATAAATTCTTTAGAAATGAATAGGTGCCCTTGTAATATAAACTTTGATAAAATTATATAACCTTGAAATCTGGCGAGGAAGCTGTCTCAGTTTTTCTAATGTACATTTGCTTCAAGGATTTTCACACACATTTGTAGATATTGACAGAAGAAATACATTCTTTGCCATGTCTTTGCAATTACAAAGAAACAAAATAAATCTCAGAAAGATTAGAAACAAGACTGACATCTTTATTATGGTGTCTCACAGTTGTAACAAGATTTCTATTATAAATCCAATTTCTATTCACCTCCAACGCCTTCTCCAAAGAGCTGAAATGGACAATACTTCTGAGAAGTGAGATTTTTAAAAACAGCAAGTTCTTTATTTCTTTGGAAAAATCTAATCAATTTTGGAAATGTTATATCTAAAATAGCTTAAATTAGAAAACTCAAATGTGTTCATTGAGTTGTTCTAGTTTAACACACAACAGACTGAACCCAGGCTACCTGAAGCTTAATAAGTCAACAGTGTGCCCTTATTGGCAAGACGGCTCGCGACATACTGGGGATGCATTGCTATCAAGTCAAGGAAAATTATTATTCCCCCCCACTCCCATTTGGCACTTGTGAGATCACATCTGAATTATTGCATCCCTCACTACAGAAAAAATGTGGACAAATTGGAGAGAGTCTAGCAGAGGGCAACAAAAATGATTAGGGGACTGAGGTACATGACATATGATGAGAGGCTGAGAGAAGTGGGGACTTATTTAAAATGCAGAAGAGTGAGGGGGAATTTGACAGCAGCCTTCAACTGAAGAAAGGTTCCAAAAATGATGGAGCGAGACCAGGGGCTCACAAGCCAAATATGGCTCAATACGGCAGTCAATCTCTCTCTTTTGGCCATCCCTGCTGCCCAATATACTGGAGCTGGAGTCTTACTGCTGGGACAGCTGCACCGCGGCCTTGGTTCCAGCTCCAGCAGCCGCCACATAGCCTTGGACCTGGCCTCAGCCCTTTCCCACAGCTGGAGCTGCAGCCAGGGTAGTCCTACGTGGTGGCCTCCAGGCTGCCTCCAGGGCAGGCTGAAAGGCAGGCAGCTTCCTCTGTGTGCCGGGGCTCAGACTGGGATTGGGATGTAGCTGCTCCCATGGCAGCCTATCCAACAAGGCCTTGCTCCCACCTGGCCTGTTCCCAGCCCCAATCCTGGAGCAGGTCCCGCAGTCCAGTCCACATCTGGCTGCAGGAAGGGCTGGCGGCGACCCCCCTCCTACTGATGAACAGGTAGCGGGGGAGGCCACAATCTGGCTGTGGCAATCCTGGCCCAGGACCTCATCCAGCCATTTCTGCTCTAGTGCAGCAGCCCAGCCCCAGACAGGTAAGGTAATCCAGCCCCAGGGCCTCCCCACATATTCTACTTCCCACCCCAACATACTGCCCTGTCTCCTGCACCTCCCAAACACCCCTGCCCTGAGCCCCTGATACAGCCCAATCCTGACTCCTGCATCCCCCTCCCCATCCCCAGCTCCCTGCCATAACACTCCTGCACTCTTCCCCCCCCTCCCCCCACACACACTCCATGCCGGAGCCTATCATACAACCCAATGCTGACTTCTGCACCTCCCAGTCTCCAGTCCCCTGACAAAACACTCCTGCACCCCCTGCATACCCCAAACCT